CGACCCTCTGCAGGGTCAGTGCAATCTCAACAGAAAATACTGTGAGGCAAGATGTGAGATAAGATGGGATGGTATTGGCAAGAAGCAATGCGGATGCCCTGAAATAACCAATAAGAATGTAATGAATTTTAAGCTACCAAACCAACGCGATGGCTTTTTCCCAACGCAAAGCAGTTGCACACATGTTTGGTACGACCTGCAAGCAAGTGCTGCCCCGCAGCAACATCTGATGGATCTATTGTTTGGCACACCTATTCAATGAGCTAATCTCGCTAACACATTGTAGTTGAGTGCGATCACATCACAGCAGCAGTGCAGCAAGAGTGCGTCGGTTACAGCAGCAGCATGGCAGTGAGAGCCAGGCCAATGGAGGCAAGTAGGTGGAAGATGGAAGCAGTGGCTCCTGCAGGAGAATGGGGAACAAAGAAGCAGGGTCTGACGACATCTTGTAGAATCTTCAAGTGGTGCAACATACGAGAAACAAGTTTGGCCAGTTTAGGGTGATTGCATGTGTGCGCGAGCATGATTGTGCGCGAGCGTGATTGTGCGAGAGCGTGATTGTGCGCGAGCGTGATTGTGCGCTTCACATGAATGAGTGGATCGGTGAGGGTATGCGGTGTGCGTGATGGTGTGTGGTTCGTGCCAGGGTGTGTGGTGTGCGTGGATCTCTGTGTGTCTGCGTACCTGCATACGCGCTAAGAGCCTCCATGTTATAAGGCAAAAGCACCGCATCACTTGTATACACCACGACCTCGTTCTCCGGAGAATCATATGCAACGTCTTCAGAACTCTCCACCGTATATGCAAACGGGCTCCCATCCGTTTCCACATAGCGCTCGACTTTAGGCAGCGGAGAGGTGGCGTGCTGCTGGGGAGACATGCCTGAAAAGTTCCAACTTCTGCCATACAAAGAATCGGTGCCAATGTCACACGTCGCACATGGAGTGTATGTCATCCAGAGTGGTTGCCCTTCCATGGTTGCAAGTTCCCACGGCCTGCCAGATGAGTACTGCAAGTAGGATAGAGGGGGGATGATCGAACGGTGAGGACAGAGACACAGCGGAAAAGGAAATCGCAATAAACCAACGGAAAAGTTACTGACTCACATACAAGATAGGTGGTTAACTATTTACGGCCCATGGGCCGCATTGCAATGCGGTCACTGCGATCACTGCGATCACTGTAATCACTGCGCACTGCGATCACTGCAATCTCTGTGATCACTGCAACTCTGTGATCACTGCGATCTCTGTGATCACTGCAATCTCTGTGATCACTGCAATCTCTGTGATCACTGCAATCTCTGTGATCACTGCAATCTCTGTGATCACTGCAATCTCTGTGATCACTGCAATCTCTGTGATCACTGCAATCTCTGTGATCACTGCAATCTCTGTGATCACTGCGATCTCTGTGATCAGCAATCACTGCGACCGCGGCGGTCCAGGCAACTATTCGTTGACTTCACTTTTCAGAGACTCACCTTCTGCTTCGCCACGGAGGGCGGAATGTATTGATTCACAATCTGAAACTTCCAGATATCCAGCAGAACTTTCGTGACAGCAGGGGAGAGTAACTTCTGTGAGGCGGCGGTCCACCTCGATTCTGAATCGCTGGCTGCGTACATGAGCGTGAGCGCGCGTCCGCGACCGCCTGGTTGTACTTGCGCGTGGTGTTATCATGGCTGGCGTAGGTTTCGCCATCGGGAATGTCGCCGGATCGCGGGACGAGAATCGTCACGCCCGAGATGTCTTTGGTGCCGTCCAACGCGACAGACGCTCCATCTGAACGTAATAAATGCCATTTGACTTCATGGTTGATATCATCTCGCTCACGGGCAGGGCACGGGTGGTTGTGGGCAGCTGGGAGAGCAGCGCCACAAGCAGCAGAGCCACGGCGGTGCCGGAAATATGATGCAGGAAAAATGGTCGTCCGGCCATCGCGTTTGTCTGGAATCAGGAGCGCGTGTGCGAAATTGAGAATAGCGAGAGGGGTGGTGCTTGCGGGAAAGGTGGAACTTTGGGGACGAGAAGGTGAAGAAGACGAGACCTTTTGTGTTCGGCGTGACAGATCTCTCCAATTCACGACGAAGCTGCTGCTCGTAAATGCCAGCCTCGCTGGAGTCTTGCCTGGTCAGCAGTCCAGGCTTGCTCGCGGGGACCCCTCCACAGATCGTTGACCCGAATAGAACGTGCCAGCGCATCTGGTTCGGGTGGAGTTGACCATTCACACTGCGGCATGTATCTGGTAAACGCATTCCCGATTGGCCGTGCGTCGTCCTGCTGGCATTCCCATGAAACTTGACACCTAGACCACAAGGAATCTGCATCCTTACGAACCGACCCGGAGTAACTGTTCTAAGGACGAGAAAGACTCGGGAATGAAAAAATCTGTTAAAAATGACCATACAATTTAGACATTCTACAACAAATTCTAAGCAAGCCTAGATGCATCTCTAACAAAGAAAGTTGATCTGAAAAACTCCAGACATTTGCAAACCCACGCAGAATGCATAACGGCTCTGAGAAGAGAAACGGGTGGGCGAACGCCCACAAGGGACATGGCAGCAGACACCGCAGAAGAAGCCGCTGTGAGTGCAGGCTGTAGTAGCTGTACAGCCGGCCCTTGCAACTGGTACCTGAGGTGAAAACAGAGTGGGGAGGCAAAAAGAGAAAGAAGAATTGGAAGAATAGGTATATATACGTACGATCCATTCGTGGCTCCCATACGTACAAGAGTTGACACCTTTACCCTTGGGGGACAGCGTGTGGCGATCTGTGCTAGAAAGGCACAGTGCCGTCGTAGCGGAAGCCTTGATTGTATGATAGAATAGCAAGAGAAACCTTGCAACTGAAAGGATTCAGCCCAATGGATTGGTTTGATTATGAGATCACACAGCAGGGCATTTATGCTATCAGCTACCCTGCCCATATCCACCCATCCACACCAGTAATTGTACTACCAATAATGGTGACTCCAATAAAGGAGTACCAATAATTCTACCCCCATAACTCTAGACTCCAATAATGCAGCTCCTACAATAATTGTACAATTATTGTAGAGCCTGGAGCCTTATAAAGAAGACTACAGTGAAATCTAACAGCATATAGAGTTCCTTATGTTTCTATTTCCAACACTCCCCCTTGCTGTAGATTTAACTGAAGTTCGTTTGTGTGGAGGATGGAGGGATAAGATGGGTTACCACATACTGACCCTGATTTGACGCGTTGTTCCCGTTGATTGCGGAAGCGATATCTAATTTCGGAGTCACGAAGTTTGCAGGTGCTGTCGGAAACGCGCTGCGTTTGAACTCTTCAGCTGCACGTCCCGCACCTCTGGTGTCGAGTTCTGTTCCTCTAGTTTCTGCCCCCTGCTCCGCGCATCCTTTCACTTCCGCGCACCTCCGGCAGATCTCGTTACTGTACCTAGGGTTTCTTGGCAATCTCAACCCAAGTCACAGCCGAGGTTGTTTTCCCCTCGCTGCTCTTCACAGTCCCATGAGAGCCTATGCAGAGTTTCGCCTTGTGCTCTTCACAATCTAGTTTAGCCACGACTCGATCATGGCTGCTGCATCCGTAGCCATGGCGGAATGTTGAATCATCATGGCCAGCTGCAGCTGTAGATGAGTAGTTAGCAGCTGCTGCCACGTTTTCTACCAGCAGTCCGAATTTCTTCTGTAGCAGCTGTGTCGCCATGCCGCGACTGACATGCTTAAATTGAGAGAGAGCAGCAGCTGGCTCTCTTGCGCGACTTAGCTGCTGCTGGCGATTAACTTCTTCATGGCGCGCTGCTGCTGTTTGCCCCATCCTGTACCCACGCGACTTGCCTTGCTGTCGCGCGACTGAATCAGCATGACGAAACGGCCAGTAACACGACTGCATCTGCGCCCGTGACGACCAGCAGTATGTCGCGCGACTGCTTCTCCTGTCACGCGGCTGCAGTGGCGACTTCACCTGCCGTGCAACTACTGTCGTTGGCGCAGACCATCAGCGTGGATTTGCATCAGCATGCGCGCGGCAGCAGCAGCTGATGGCGTATGTAGCAGCTCTTGACTCCCGAAAGCCGCAGGGCACTCCCCCTGCCATGTGCACTGAAGGTGAGCTTACTCGTTGTCACAGTCAAACACGCCGCTACTTACGTGTAGCATTGCGTGTGACAACCTGCCACACGTGCTTAACCTCCTTCACCCAATGTGTCGTTTATCACAACACCTGCAGCTGGCGCACGGTAGCAGTAGTATTACTTAACTGCACGCTGCTGCACCTGTCTTCCGGCAGCACCAGCAACTCGTGGCAGGCGGCAGCAACAACATCGCCTGGCGCCCAGCAGCACCATGGTGAGACAAGCCTAGGTTTCCCTTTGCCTGCCTCGGCTGCATCATGTTCTTTGGGTCTCGTGAAGCCTCATTATCCTTCTCATTTTATCGTGTAATGTCCCTTTGCACCCGCCCACACCAGCTAGCGACTGATGGCAACCTGCATCATCACTTGGCGGCCAACACTTGGTGCCCAGCACCTGGCGGCCGGCTTCGTCAGTCAGCCAGCTGCACCTCCTTGTGGGCGTGAGCAGCACCAGCGGCGCCTGACAGGCTGCATCAGCATCACCTGACCGCATGCAGCTCCCCCTGTCGCCCTCCTGCAACAACACCTGACGGCCTGCAGTACCAGCACCTGTTGGCCTGCAGACCTGGGGCTGCATCTCTTGCAGCTCCAGCACTCCTTGGTACGTTTCTGATCAGTAATTGCAGCAGCGCCTGGCGGTGAGGAATCTCGGGATCTCCTAGCCTTGCCGTAGTAGCTTGCCTTCTCCCTTCTCTTTTTGCTTTCCTTTCACTCTCCTCCTGGATGAAGCTCCAGCATGGCTTAACATGTGTTGTCTTGGTATGCTCCCCCCCTTTCACCAGCAGTACCAGCTTCGCCAGCAGCGCCCTTGTGAGTGAGGCTCCAGCTTTCTCCCCCTGCCTCATGCCATGGTGCCTTACACCTCGTAATGCTGGTTTTTCACACCAGCAGGCGCACGGGAGCAGCTGCAGTCGGCGGACAGCAACGGCTGGCGGCCTGCGCCTGCACCAGCAACACCCTGTTGCACACATCAGCGACGGCAGTAGCGGAGGCGGACGGCTGCAGGCGCATGGCAGCAGCGGCGGCAGCACCAGCAGCGTCTGATGCCCTGCACCAGCACTTGGCGGACTGCAGCACCAGCAGCTGTCATCCTGCACAACCAGCAGCGGCTCTTGGCACCCTGCAGCAACAGCAGCCGTCGTCCTGTATTGGTCATGTCTGTGTAATCCTCCATGCACACCACTGTACGATGTTAACGTCTTCACTTGTGGTGTTTCACTCTCCCTGAAACCAGCAGGTACATTTGTAACAACGGCTGCCCGCGGACAACACCAGCTGTAGCACTTCAGCAAGTGCAGTTCGATCGCAGCAGCATCTGCTGGCACACGACAGCAGCAAAATGAACTTATGCCTCCCACTCCATCATATATACTGCTCCACACCCCACTCCCCCTCTCACCCATGTGTTTGTGATCATGCACTTGTGCAAACATGGGCACATGTGCAAACATATGAGTGAGGCATGTGGAGCTACGTGATGTCCGGAGGTGCAACACACCTCGAGAAGCCCGCTCGTGTGAGTGCTGCACTAGCACCATTGACTTGCTGACCATACGTAGATGTTGCTTTATGCGGAACTGGTGTGACGCCACACAGGCTGCAGGTGAGGTCGTGTCCTTTGGGTAGTGCGAGCTGGTCCTTGGGCAAGGTTTTCAGCTCCTTGTATGTCAGGTCAACCATGCGCACGTCCTTTGTTGCATGTCCCACCTTGCTGTCAGCATCAGCTTCATCCTCCACATGAACAGAGGCATTTGCTGCAGGCAAGTCATTCGCCGCAGCACCTTCATTTCCCTTGGTTGCAATGACCATTGCAGCTGCATCATGTCCAGGGAGATCATGTTTTCCAAAATGTGGTCCATCGTCATTTCCTTTTCCCCCTGAAGTCCTCACCACAACCTGGGGTGAGACTTCATTCGCTTGCTGCTGGTGTCCAAACGAAGTCCCAGTGTCCAGCAGCATGTCATCAACGTTACGTGTCATGTTCCTCACGACACGAGCCATGTGCGCGATACGGTCGGTGACGGATGCAGGAGCAGATTGACCTTTCAATCCTCCAGGAGCATGTGCATTCGATGCTGCATCCTCATGCGTATGTCCAGATCCATGGGCGGAAGCAAGTGCTGGCTCATATTCCACCATGAGCACTCCATGCACGTTCTTGCCTAGCCCAATCCGTACACCCCCATCTCCATCAGGCATGGAGATTTCGGTGTCTCCACCATCGTTGGTGTGAATCCGAGCGCCCTTTTGCAGCAGCTGACAGTAAGAGAGGAGATTGGACTTCAAACCAGGTACGTAGAGCACGTCGGTGTAGCGCACCGTTGTCCCATCGGTTGCATGTACTCTGATTGTGCCCACCATTGAGCTGTTCAGAGTGCTCTCATCAGCAAGCTCCACCGTTACTAGTTCGTCCAGTTCCTTCAAACCCTCCAACCACTTTTTGTCCGAGGTCATATGTTGGCTGCATCCGCTGTCCAGCAACCATAGAGAATCTCCAGCACTTGGTGAGGTCGACTGTAACGATCGAACCGTTGCAATGCATGTAATCGTGCGGTTGTCTTTCTCGGATGCCCCTTGCTGCTTCATACCATTGTTGTCACGCTTGGTGCTGCCACCATTTCGAGGAGAGATCGAATGACTGTTGCTGGTACGTCGGTTGGTCCTCCTGTTTTGTTGTTTCCACCCCGGTGGTGACCATTGTCGAACCGCGCCATTGTCTTGATCCAGTTGTTGCCTCTTGCTATGCCAATTTGCTAATGTGTCTGCCCAATATGAATTGTAACAGAGTTCTGACCAAGTTTCGGCAGCATGCCCCCTAGAGTAGCTCTGATACCTTGCTAGAAAGGCACAGTGCCGTCGTAGCGGAAGCCTTGATTGTATGATAGAATAGCAAGAGAAACCTTGCAACTGAAAGGATTCAGCCCAATGGATTGGATTGATTATGAGATCACACAGCAGGGCATTTATGCTATCAGCTACCCTGCCCATATCCACCCATCCACACCAATAATTGTACTACCAATAATGGTGACTCCAATAAAGGAGTACCAATAATTCTACCCCCATAACTCTAGACTCCAATAATGCAGCTCCTACAATAATTGTACAATTATTGTAGAGCCTGGAGCCTTATAAAGAAGACTACAGTGAAATCTAACAGCATATAGAGTTCCCTATGTTTCTATTTCCAACAATCTGTACGTGCTCCCCGAACTGACCGCCACCTGGCCACGTTCACACGTGAGCCTGGGTCCAGTCTGTACACACTCACTACTGTGTCACGTTACGCCCCTTTGTCTCCACAGCTGTCCGCGTCCGCTCAGGTAGCTACCCCGTGTGGGTGTCGCCGTCTGTCGCACCAAACTCTCCTCTGGCACCACCGCCTTAGTCACCCCTCCCTGCCACGCCTTCGTGGCATGCAATCTCGCCTTTTGGTCTCTGGTCTTCCCAGGTCTCTGCCATCCCTCCCCGAGTCGCGCTGCCCCACGCACGCCGCCTGCGCGCTGCGTCACTGCTGCAGCGCGCGCGTTTTCTTTGGCGCGCTGCCCCACCTGCGCCCCGCGCGCTGCCCCGCCGGCCGCCTGCAGCCCCGCGCGCCGCCTGCACCGCAGCCCCGTGTGTCGTATGCCTCGTGCGCCGCCTGCCCTGCTGCCGCGGCCGCCTGCTATGCCCCGCGTGCCCCCTTGCACAGCTCCTGCCCTCGCGCAGCCCCTGCCCTTGCGCAGCCCCTACCGGCCTGCCCGCTGAATCGCGGCCAGCGCACCCCTGCCCTCGCGCAGCCCCTGCCCTCGCTCAGCCCCTGCCCTCGTGCAGCCCCTGCCCTCGCGCAGCCTCTGCCCGCCCGCTCGTTTCCCTGCAGCCCGCGCGCCACCTCCCCCGCTGCTCTCGCGCAGCCCCGCGGCCCGCGAGCCGCCCTTGCCGCCCGCGCTCCGCCCCGCGGTCCCACCCACTTGCCGCCCCTTGCAGCCTGCGCGCTGCCCTTGCCGCCCGCACGCTGCCCTTTGCCGCCCGCGCGCCGCCCTCTGCCGCCCGCAAGCTGCCCTTGCCGCCCTTGCGCTTTCTCGGCCGCTCCCTTACTGACAGTGCGCCGCTCCTAGCCTGCGCTGCAATTATGGCGACACTTGACGTCCTAGCGTTTGAGCCTGACGGTCGCCCGATAGAATTCGCCACGTGGCTCGACGACTTGCGACTATACCTTATGACCGATGCCAAAGACGGTATTTCCCTGTTCAATCACACGTCTGGCTCCCCAGTTGCTCCTGCTGACACAGCTGACAACCTTGCTTGCTCCCAGTGGCAGACTCGTGATGTTGCTGAGCTGTTGCGCGCCTAGCTATCCGCAATCATCTGCCGATCACTGAGCGCACTCACTTTAGCTAGCACAAGACCGCTAAGGCACTGTACACCGCTGTAGTTGCCCGCTACTCCTCGTTCCCTCCTACAGAGGCTCCACTGTAGACTCTCCACCTGGACGTATAAGGCCCAGCCCGCGTCCAGGGGCAGAGCCGCGAGCGGTACTTCCTGCTGGTCGTCGACGACTTCTCGCGTTATACCACGGTCTTCCCCTTGCGCAGCAAGAGGGAGGTCCCTGCTGTTTTGATCCCTTGGATCCGCGCTGTTTGTCTCCAGCTCCGCGAGCGGTTCCGTTCGGACTTTCTTGTCCTGCGTCTACACTCTGACAAAGGTGGTGAATTCTCCTCCGACGTCTTCCGAGCCTTCTGTCAGCAGGAGGGCATCCGCCAGTCGTTCACGCTTCAGTCGTCACCGCAGCAGAATGGGGTTGCTGAGCGCCGCATTGGCTTAGTCATGGATGTCGCTCATATCTCCATGATCCATGCGGCTACTCCCCATTTTCTGTGGCCGTTTGCGGACCGGTACGCCGCGCATCAGCTCAACCTCTGGCCCCGTGTCTCCTTGCCGGAGACTTCGCCCACACTGTGTTGGACGGGGAAGGTTGGCGATGTGTCGCGATTCCGGGTCTGGGGTGCTCGTGCCTTTGTCCGCGATACCACCGTGGGCAAGCTCTCCGCTCGCGCCATTCCCTGCGTCTTCCTTGGCTTTCTCCCTAACGCGCCTGGCTGGCAGTTTTACCACCCCGCCTCGCGCCGTGTCTTTGCGTCTCAGGACGTCACCTTTGACGAGTCAGTCCCATTTTACCGTCTCTTTCCCTACCGCACTGCCCCCCTCCCCCCCCCCGCCGCTCTTTCTCACTCCAGGTCCCCCCCAGGTAGACCCCCCTCTCCCCTCCAGGTCCTGCTCCTTCAGGTATGTCTCAGGTAGACCCTCCTCTCTTGGCTGAGCCTGTCGAGGTCACTGGTGACTCAGGTCCTGCTGAGGTTGGTCCTTCTCGGGGTGCTGCTTCTTGGGGTGCTGAGCCTGGGGGTGCGGAGCCTGGGGGTGCTGAGCCTAAGGGTGCGGAGCCTGGGGGTGCTGAGCCTGAGGGTGTGGGGCCTGGGGGTGCTGAGCGTGAGGGTGCGGAGCCTAGGGGTACTGAGCCTGAGGGTGCGGAGTCTGGGGGTGCTGAGCCTAAGGGTGCGGAGCTAGGGGGTGCTGAGCGTGGGAGTGCTGCGCCTGGGAGTGCTGGGGCTGCTGGTGAGCAGTCTCCTTGGAGCGCACGCCTTCAGAGTCACACTGCTGGAGCTGGTGGCACTGGAGTTCCTTCCTCCGGCAGTCCCACTGGTGCCTCGCCGCAGCGCTCTAGTCGGCGAGAGCCTCTCTCCCCAAAGCAGCTGCGTGAGTGGTACGCTCATTGCAAGGGTGGTGCTGCTGGAGCTGGAGGCCCTGGAGCTTCTGGCGCTGGAGCTGGGGGTGCTGCTGGTGCTGGAGGTTCTACAGCTACTGGAGCTGGTGGTGCTGCTGGTGCTGGAGGCCCTACTACTGGAGGTTCAGGAGCTGGAGACGCTGGCGCTGGAGGCCTGCCTGTCGTCTTGACTACGCCACTGCTCTTGTTGCTGAGTCTGAGTCTGTCTGTCCTCCGTCCGTCAGGGGTGAGTGTGCTCTTGGCACGGACGTCCTTGAGGACAGGCAGGAGGACTTTGAGTGTCTTGCCGCTGCTGCGCCTCATCTCGTGGCCATGCTGCTTGCCCCTGAGGGAGACCCGGATGTACCAGACATCCCCACCCCGCGCTCTTACAGCGAGGCGATCTCGGGTGACTACTCCTCTCAGTGGCAGACAGCCATGGACGCAGAGATGACATCCTGGAATTCCACAGGCACTTGCGTCAACGAGGTTCCCCCTCCTGGGGCGAACATCGTCGATGGCATGTGGATTTTTAGGGTGAAGCGGCCGCCGGGTTCTCCGCCTGTCTTCAAGGCTCGTTACGTTGCAAGAGGCTTCAGTCAGCAACATTGAGTTGACTTCTTCCAGACCTTCTCCCCCACCCCGAAGATGACCACTCTTCGGGTGCTACTGCACGTTGCTGCTCAGCGTGACTACGAGCTTCACTCTCTGGTGAAGCAGGTCCTTCAGCGCTTTGGCTTTACTTGGTCCTCTCCATAGTCCACTCCTCTAGCTACTGGTCACTCGCTCTCAGCTCTGCCTTCGGATGAGTCCGTAGAGCCAAGTGGCTCGTATCCAGAGTTAGTAGGCTGTCTCATGTACCTGATGACCTGCACTCGTCCTGACCTCGCGTACCCTCTTGGCCTTCTGGCACGCTACGTGGCTCCTGGTAGACACCGAAAGGTGCACTGGGATGCTCCGAAGAGGGTACTGCGTTACTTGTGCAGTACGTCGGGCATGGGGCTCGTGCTTGGAGGACGGGGTGACGTTGTCCTCACTCGACCTGTCGTGCGAGGGTACTCACTCAACTTCCTTGCTCAAGAGTTGTTTAGCGTGGTCAGCTTCATGTTGCTTACGTGGCCACTCGGGCCAACACTGCTGCTGATGTGTTCACCAAGGCACTTTCGCCTGGTGACCATCAGCGTTTCTGCACTACTCTAGGCCTGGTGCCTACGTTGCCCACTTGCTTACGTCTTGACTTTGCTTGTACTGTGAGTTGTATTATATACCTGCATGTTTACTTCTGCTAGTTTGTGATCACTGTACTGTTGTTGTTGCATATATACTTCTGGTTGTGGACTGGTCTTATGACCCTTTGCTTGTGCTCAGAGAGTGTGGTGACGTTGTGATCCACCCTGAGCTTGTTTTGTTTAACTTGACTGGTCTTGTGACCCCTTGTTCTCCCCCACTTTGCCTATGGGGGTGTGTAGGTAACGTATATGGGGTACAACCCAATGTTAGGGTTAGTATTTGTACCCAACTTTCTTTCAATGCAATCATTTTCCTGCCTAGTATTTTGACAAAAAAAAAGGTGCCGAGAATTTGGGAAGTATATGTGTGTGCCTGTGAATGGGAGGGAATGTATAGTTGTGGCGAGCGGGTGTGCGTACGTGTTCGTGTGCCATGCAACATGTGTAAGCAAGCAAGAGAACAAGACAAACTAGCAGAAACAACAACACTCCACCACAATGAAACAAATAAGCCAGTCAGCTAGCACACCCTGGAGAGCTGCACCTGGAGTCAGGCGGTAACAAGCCATTCACGTAACGTGCAAAGAGGAGTGCATTGTAATCGGCCCCCTCGAGATAGTAGAAGCACAGTGAGCAACAGAAACACACCTGGAGTCGGGTGGTAACCAGCCGTTGACGTAACGCGCAAATAGGAGTGCATCGTATAGTAATTGCCTTTTGACCGCCTCAAACAACACAGCAAGCGATTCAGCCAACCCAGCCCAAAAAAACACACCTGGAGTCGGGTGGTAACCAGCTGTTGACGTAACGCGCAAATAGCAGCGCGTCGTAATCCCCCCCCTTGAGGTAGTAGAAGCGGGAGAGGCGGCGGCGGTAACAGAAACACAGTGAGCGGTAGAAGCGGATGGCGGGTGCGTTGCATGCGACCACGTGCAGGTAGACTGCCGCACAGTGCGAGAGGGGGGAGGCGTGGGACAGCAGCAGATGCACCAGGTGGGATGCTGCGGGGACAGGGAGGCGGGATGAGGAGGGGCAGGTGGTGAGAGGGGAGGGATAGGAGGGGTGAGGCAGGCTTCTGAGAGGGAAGGAGAGGCGGGTGCAGTAGGAGAGTGAGGGAGGGGGCGTGTGAGAGCAGCAGATACACCAGGTGGGTTGCTGTGGGGGCAGGAAGCTAGGAAGAGGAAGGACAGATGGTGGGAGGGAAGGGGAGCGGAGGGGTGCCATAGGGAGCGGGGATAGAAGGCTATGCAGTGCAGGGCGGAAGAGGGCGAGAGTACAGCAGATGGAAATTTCAAAGAGCAATGGGAAATGGCTGCCCACGCCAGCCTTGCGGTAGGGCTTGGAAACACCGAGCGTGAGAATGTAGAGGAGAGAAGGCGATGGGGTGTGGAGGGGCGAGGGAGGAGTGAGAGGCAGCACGTCCACCCCCTGAGATGGAGATGATGGGGAGGGGAAGACGAGTGCAGGGGAGAAGTGTGTCAGGGAGGTGAAAGCAAGTGTAGAGAGAGTGAGAGTGAGAGGGGAATGAACATGTTGGTATACACAACAGACGCAGCAGGAAGCAAGATGATGAGTTGACTCAATTGCACCCTCCCTCCATGCTTCTTCCTCCTCAACCCCCCCATGCTCAAACCCCCCACCCCCCTGCCACAGAGAAGCACCAGGCGGGCAATAGTGACCTTCCCCCCTCCCTTAGCCTCTCAGCCTCCAGTCTCTCAGACTGACACAGGACAACTGCAGCTCGAGAGTTCATGCCCACACATGCACACACGCTGTACCCCATGTATCATCCGACCCCCACCCTCCCTCCCAGCTCCCCCCCTTCCCCCCCTCCTGCCACAGAGCACCTGCGCCTCTGCTGGTGGGACCAGGAGCGCAGTGATGAAGCCCACCAGCCGGTCAGGCTTGCACGGGTCCACGGCGCCCCATGAGATGATGCCCCTATCTGGTGCACCCGTCATGCATGCTCACATCCCTCGCCCTGCCATGCCATGCACCCCATTCTGCAACCCCCCCCCCCCTCCATGTTGCTCCCTCCCCCACCTGCGCCTCTGCTGGTGGGACCAGGCGCGCAGTGATGAACCCCACGAGCCGTTCCGGCTGACAAGGGTCCACGGCGCCCCATAAGATGATGCCCCAGTGTTGCAACCACCACCCATGCACCCATATGTAACTCTCATGCACCATGCACCCCATGCTGCACCCACCTGCGCCTCTGCAGGCGGGACGAGGCGGGCAGTGATGAAACCCACGAGCCTGTCAGGCTGGCACGGGTCCACCGCACCCCATGAGATGATGCCCCTGTGATGCACCCACAACCCATGCACACATCCCTAACCCTTACACGCCATGCACCCCATGCTGCACCCCATGCTGCACCCCATGCTGCACCCCATGCTGCACCCCATGCTGCACCCCACGCTGCACCCCATGCTGCACCCCATGCTGCACCCCACGCTGCACCCCATGCTGCACCCCATCCCTAACCCTTACACACCAGGCACCCACCTGCGCCTCTGCTGGCGGGACCAAGCGGGCAGTGATGAACCCCACGAGCCTGTCCGACTTGCACGGGTCCACCGTGCCCCATGAGATGATGCCCCTGTGATGCCCGACATTAGAATATAACTCTGACTCGTGCCTAATGGGCAGGGAGGAGAGGGGGAGATGGGGGTGCCAAGGAGAGCAGATGGGAAGGTGAGTTTGGGTCCACCACACCCCTTGAGATGATGCCCTGTGGTGCAGCTCACTGTCTCTTTCTTTTGTCAACTTATGAACTGCGCCTGGTACCTGAGGGAAAGGAGGGGTGAGGGGGAAGGGGGAGGGGAACGGAAGGAGAGGATGATAGCGCGAGGAGATTCTGATCAAAAATCACAAAAATTCTGTATTTTCTATTGTTCTAGCCCAAACGACACCTGTTCATGAGACGACAAAAAATAGCATGCTCCGTTACCGAGTCGTGTTTTAACAGGTTCATCTACTGTAGCGTGACACTAACAGTCACGGAGAAAATGCGAGAAATGTCTGTGGGTCGTGTGAGAAATGCGTGCGGGTCGTGTGAGAAATGTGCGGATCGTGTGAGAGCCTTACGCGATGGGGAAGGTGGCTTCATGGAGTGCCTTGAGATCTGCCATGTCCCCTGGGGTGATAGCACGATAGGCCACACTGGGAAGTGAGGCACAAGGAATGTGACACAACACGTGCTGCTGCTGCTGTGCCTTGAGATCTGCCATGTCCCCTGGGTTGATAACACGATAGATGATACTGGGGAGCGAGGAGGACGAGAAGGAGGCGGAGGGAGTGTGGGATAGTCCCTGCAGCTGCTGGTGCTGCTGCTGCTGGTGGTGGTGGTGCTGCTACTGGTGCTGCTGATGCTGCTGCTGGTGGTGCTGGTGCTGACAGCATTTGCAGTGAGTGCAATGCTGGCAACAGCGATGCAGATTGTCATGTCCATGATTGGCATGTCTATGGCTGTCGGCAGCAGTGCTGGTGTGACTGTAACAAGAGGAAGGCTGCTGCGAGCCTGGTGCAGAGGAAGCAGGTGGGAGGGGTGACGAGATGGGAGGGCGAGGACATGAGGAGGAGGAGGAGGTTCGAGAAGAGGAGACGTGAGAGGGAGTAGGATAAGGGGCAGGGGACAGCTTGTGGGTGGGACGAGGGGACCCGGGCCTTTGAGGCGCCTCAGGAGTGGGACGAGGGGAACCAGGATAAGGGCGAAGGGAGTCAGGGCAGGGAAGTGATTGGCATGGGCTTGCACTGTGTGGGTTGCCCTGATAGGACCGTTGAGGCGCCTCAACACAGGGATAGGCGAGACATTTATGGGATAGGCAGGAATGGGGTTGACATGTGTGGGGTTGCAAAGTGCGGGGTTGAAGGGTATGTGACGGACAGATATGGGAATGAAGGGCGTGGGACTGACAGGGATGTGGACATGGATGGTGCATGTTGCTGCACTGACAGGTTTTGTGTGCCGCATGGAAGGGAGGTGTAACAGGAGGGGCAGAATGAGAGCGAACAGAATGAGAAGGGGCGGAGTGAGAGTGCATGTGGGTTGGGCATGAGGCAGCGAGGCAGCAGCGCAGAGGCGGGGTTAGGGGCGCTGGCGCTGGCGCAGTGGTGGTGGCGGGGGAGAGCGCGGGAACCGAGGGGGAAGGAGACAAGGGAGGGCCGGAATGGGATGGGTGGGTGGAAGCGGGTGTGGGGGGGGAAGGAGCGGAGGTGGAGGAGACAGGAGGTGGAGGCATACTAGAGGAACTGTGCAGGAGAGGTGTGGGGGAGCGAAGCACCATGCATGCAACCACCATTCCCTCCACCATGCACCCCTCCACCAGCTCCATTCATCCCTCCACCTTCACCCATGCGCCATTCATCCCTCCCTCATCCACCCCGGCACTGATCATCCCCCCACCATGCACCGCTCTAGAGGATCCGCCTCTAGAGATCCCATCAGCGCCTCATCCCATCCCTCTGGGTTCCTGTGCAGGGACGGCGACAGCTCCGCCACGTGGCGCGCTGCCATTGGAGCGCCTCCATGCTCCTGCTGCTGTTGAGGCGCCTCAAAGTCCGTCTCCGCCTCCCCATACGAACGCTCGAAGTCCGGTTGAGACTGCGAGGGCAGGGCAAAGTATCCCCCTTGCTGCTCGTGGCAAGCACAACCCTGCGTGCCTCCTGCGGACCCCTCAAAACTTGTCCCCACTGAAGCATACTCCTGCTGCTCTACAGGCGCCTCAACGGCCGTCTCCCCGTAAGAATGTGGCGGCGGTAGAGAGGGCAAGGCAGGGTAGATCCCTTGTGGATGATGGAAGGGAGTATGCTCCTGTATCCTACTCCCCTGCGGTCCTTCTTTAGACGGTCCTTGCATCCTTGTAGGTGGACGATTGTGAGATTGTTGTAACGCGGTTACACTAACCCTAATCTCAGGCGAACTAGTTGCTGCACAGCCAGCCGTTTCCCCCTCCCTCGTCCCTGCTATGGCATGACTTGCTACACCGCATCTTGTCTCTACACTGTTTCTAACGCAATGCACTGTGCTCCCTGTTTTTTCCGGCGAATCTGATAACCTAAGCTGTCTAGTCCTATCAGAAACCCAATCAATCTCGCAGAAGTTTTCCCCATGCCTACCTCCTTCTTGTGCCCTACCACCCATGCGATCTTCATCTCCCTCTTCACCACCCATTCCAACCCCATTGCACCACACATCATCCCTGTAAGAATTTTCCCCCGAGTCATGCCTCCCCCCTCTCCCCGCGCCATGCCCCCCCTCGCAGCTACGCCTGGTGAATTCGTTGGCGGCCCGCCACGCGCTGACGTCATTCCATCGCATGCTGACGTGGCGGCTGCCATCCACCTGCCGGCTGAAAAAGGGTCATCGTAAAGACAAGGGAGAAAGCTTGAAAAATAGTTAGTCAGGTCCTGCAAGGGGTATGTTCGAGGTTTCGAAGAATCTGCGAAAGGAAGCCTCCTTCGCCTGCATTCGTCGTGGTGTTACACCGAATGTTGAACTTCGCAATCCGACCCTAGAGCTCCCGCTCAGAAATCTAGGCCGATATACCTGCATAACTGCGCTAGCCCTACTGCTTTGCCTCCTTCGCCCTTTTCGCCTCCTTCGCCCTTTTCGCCTCCTTCGCCCTTTTCGCCCGGATGCTGCACCGCTTTTTCAACTTGGCGATCTGATCGAGAAGCATCCCGTTCAAACAAAGATAAGTACAGCTGCTGGTGAGTTACCTGCGTAGCTCTACTCTTTCGTATCCTTGCCTCTTTTGCTTCCTTCGCGTCCTTCGCCTGGATGTTGTACCGCTTGTTGAACTTTGCATGGCCCTCCGTCTCCGCCTTCTTGCCCGGGTCGTGGATGTAGAACGGACGGTCGGATTTGAACACCTGCGCGGAGAGCACGCGCACGAGGTGGCCCTGCGGCGTGACGAGGCTGAGCCACTGCAGGGCGGGGTGGATTCCCTTCTTCATCGCACTCGGTACCGCCCGTCGCTTCCGGGCAACAACGAGAGTTATCAACTTAAGGTTCGACAACGTCCGTCACAAGACGGATCTCTGTGCACGAAGCGGGAACGAGCGAGGGGGACAAACACAGAGTTCCTTATTGTCCCGTTTGGAGTTTCCGAGGAGGTTAGATCAGGAGGAGTCAAGTCATAGGCTTGTCGGGTGTGACAAATGTTTCTTTCCCAGCTGGCAACCCTTACGCACCAATCGCATCACTCGGCATCTATGAACAAAAAACCTGCTCGAATTCGATGTTTTCACCAGGTTTCCCGCCTTCGCACCGAAAGCCCACCAGAAAACCTTGGGAACAGCAGCACCTAGACATACCTCAGAAAAAGTTTCAGACAGCCCTGAGAGCTCCGAGTCTTTGATTTGCAAGTTCCTAGCTCCAACCAGCATCCCCCCACCCCACGCCTCCCAGCTTTTTTGGGTTGCGTAGCAACCCTTTATATTTGGTTTCACATTTTGGGGATATCAATTCAACTGTGATTTTCCATGCACTCTTTGGAGCACCTGTTTGAACTTTCTGAAACTGTGTTCAAACGGATGCCTCAAAGAGTGAATAAACTCTTGAATGATATCTCTAAATGTGAAACCAAATACTATGCACGTGCGTATCATGTTGAAACCATGAACTTGTTCGACCGTCCCAGCATCGTCGATTAATACGGCGGATGGTACGGCCGAGCATAATATTCTGGCGTCAACATGATTGTACAGATGAACAACGAAGTATGAAATGTGGGTGGATGCTTCAAAGTGAATGTTAAAATGCATCATGCAACAACAGAGGTTGATGGGGTCGTTAAAACAGCGAAAACACGCTGCCCCAAAGACGATTAACAACCTCTAATTGCATACATGACACATACTAACACCACACTTTTGAACACACATCCCACAAACACGAATGCAAACACACGTAAAAAAACGTTCAACCCACATACGGTAACCGACAACCCACGCAACCCCACAGCGAAACAAACACAACGAGAAGACATGAACACACACCCGCACGAACACACCCGCACGGCACACACACGCATACACAAATAGGATTGAGAGCAGACAAGCATAACAAAGAGTTGCAATAAGTTAATTATTATCAATCACTGCTACCTTGTCCCCACTTCCTCCCCCTTTCCGCCTTCCTTCCTCTCCCTCTATCATCAAAATCTCCTCCCACCCTTTTCCACATTGTCTTCTCTATCGAATTCCCCTTGGTGCTCCCCACTACGCGTCTCGCACACCTTGCACAAACAGGTCAAGTAGAAAATGAAAGTGAATTAATACCACTAACCACTGGTGATCCCCGATTGGTCATAGGGAAGGGTTACAGGCATGTTGGCCTGGGGGGTTATGGCCACTTTCACCCGCTACACAACAATCCCTTTTATCCCAGTGGTTAGTGGCTGGGATTCTGACATGGTATCAGAGCGAAGGTCTCGGGTTCGAATCCCAGTGTGTGCACTTCGGGCATCCCAGTGCGAGGGGGTGTCAGAGGTCCACTGGTGATCCCCGTTTGATCCTAGGGAAGGGTTACAGGCATGTTGGCCTGGGGGGTTATGGGCGCACTGACCCGCTACTTAACAAGCCCTTTTATCCCAATGGTCTAGTGGTTGGGATTCTGACATAAATATGATAAGTACAAAAGGAAACCGAATTTTACGACTCACAATCGTGGTTTGAAGCACCATGCTACAAGGAGCCAGAGAGTTGCAGCAAGGCGTGAGCTCACTGCAACAAGGCGTGAGCTCACTGCAGCAAGGCGTGAGCTCATTGCAGCAAGGCGTGAGCTCACTGCAGCAAGGCGTCAGCTCACTGCAGCAAGGCGTGAGCTCACTGCAGCAAGGCGTGAGCTCACTGCAGCAAGGCGTGAGCTCACTGCAGCAAGGCGTGAGCTCACTGCAGCAAGGCGTGAGGTCACTGCAGCAAGGCGTGAGGTCACTACAGCAAGGCGTGAGGTCACTGCAGCAAGGCGTGAGGTCACTGCAGCAAGGCGTGAGGTCACTGCAGCAAGGCGTGAGCTCACTGCAGCAAGGCGTGAGCTCACTGCAGCAACGCGTGAGCTCACTGCAGCAAGGAGTGAGCTCACTGCAGCAAGGCGTGAGCTCACTGCAGCAAGGCGTGAGCTCACTGGAGCAACGCGTGACCTCACTGCAGCAAGGCGTGACCTCACTGGAGCAGGCGTGCGCAATAATTTGCCAGCGCGCAGCGCTGCAAGGCCGCCGCAGGAATTCGCCAGCGCACTGCCGCAACAAGCAGCGCACAAGCCACCAGCGCGCGGCACGCTGCAAGGTGCCAGCGCGCTAGGCGCCAGCGCCTTAGGCGCCAGCGCGCTAGGCGCCAGCGCGCTAGACGCCAGCGCCTTAGGAGCCAGCGCGCTAGGCACCAGCGCGATAGGCGCCAGCGCGCTAGGCGCCAGCGCCTTAGGCGCCAGGGCCTTAGGCGCCAACGCGCTAGGCGCCAGCGCATTAGGCGCCAACGCATTAGGCGACCAAACAGGAGAGCAATGGGAGTGTAATGCTAATGAAATTCGTCATAGAGAACTCACGAAGAAAGTAGAAAACCTAAGAAAAGGAGGGAGGTAAAAAGGTCCAAGAAACGTATACGCACGTGAGACAACGGTGAAAACAACGCGAGGTCGTTCAGCAACACGCGCTCACGCTCGTGCACCCACCAGAGGCGACGACTGGAAGGGAGGGAGAGGCGACGCCGAGGAGGAAGGGAGCGGCTATGACGGGGCGGGAGGGAGAGGCGACGGCGAAGAGGAAGGGAGCGGCTATGACGGGGCGGGAGGGAGAGGCCATGGCGGGATGGGAGGGAGAGGCGACGGCGGTTGGGAGGAGGGAGAGGCGCTGGCGGGATGGGAGGGAGAGGATACACTGGGATTGGAGGAGAGGCGACGGCGGGGTGTTGAGAAAACGGGATAGCTATTGTAGGTAGTTACAAGAACCAAGAACTGACCAAGAACCAAGAACCAAGAAGAGACGAGCGTCAAATTCGAGTTGACAAGTGTGAAAGGAAACAATACATATGTTTCTCGTTAGAATAGTGTGTAATGTTTGGGGCAGATGCGATTCACATTGTTAAGGTGATTGTATCGTTAGGGCAGAATAAACAACTAGGCATGGACAATAATTCATTTAGGTGTATATGTAGAAATATGAGCAAGAAACTAATTTGAAAGTCGTGTCACGTGAAACACACGCATAACCACGTTATAGACTACAGCTAAAAACAATGAACCCACTATATTAATTGGATGGTGCAATATAGTAAGATGGAGCTAAAAAATATTTTTTATCATAATAAAAAAGTATCATCACTGTCCGAATCGTTCCCTTTTAATAACTAGACAAGCGTAGAAACATGTACGCAATTATACTTTTCTCTAACATGTCTTCTCCATAAGTATAACACACAATGTTCCTTCATATGTTCCTTATACCACTAGAAACGACTCTACGCAACCCTTCCGACGTAAACGTCAAGGCCCACTTCGGCAGGCATTAAAAAAAACGGTTTCCCCGTATGGGCTACAGTAAATCGACCACCCTCGAACCTTCATTGATAAGCGCGTGAAAGGTTATCCAGGCTCGATATAAGCGGTTCAGCACTGAACCAGACAATAATGGGATGCCAGCCGAACCCCCCAATTAACGCTGGCATTTTCCACAAGAGGAACCTTCCTCGAACCCTTTTGCTAAGGCAAACTGGCCATTATCTCATCCGCCGTACCATGCGGCCTTGAGCTTCCGCACCATGCGGCGGATCACTGATTCGGGGCAATCACTTCTTGCCCTGGAAAAAAAAAATCCGGGTCATTCACACCCCTCTTCGTGCCCGCTGGAAAATTACACATCACCAGCACACCACCACTAACACAACGAACGCAACACCCATTCGACCTAGGGATTTTTTTCCCCACCTCTCTCGCTGGTTTGCAGGGCTGCCTGGGATGCCAGTACGGTGATTCTGCGCAAACGGGCAAACGGGCTTCGGCGAAGTGTCGTTTCCAAATAATGCCATTAATATGGGCGCAATTAATGCCAGCCGAACACACGGGCCCATTTTTCCGAGATTTCGATGCAGCTGCAGTCTGCTTTCGCGTCAGTTTCTTGGGGCCATTTTTTGGGGGCCCATTAAAAATGCCCATAATGGCGATAATGGCGAGAATGCCTGCCGAACGGGGCCCGAGTCTTGTTTGAGAAGAAACGAGGAATGAAATGACTAAGTGAAAGTTGGGTACAAGAAGCAAACCCTAGAAAACTGTACCCCATATGTGCTACCCCACTATAGCCTACAGTAGCTATGTCATATAAATCTGACACACCCCCATAGGCAAAGTGGGGGAGAACAAGGGGTCACAAGACCAGTCAAGCAAAGCAAAGCAAAAACAAGCTCAGGGTGGATCACAAAGTCACCACACATTCCGAGCACAAGTTCAAGGCCACAAGGCCAGTTCACAAGCAGGAGTACACATATATATAAAAAGGCTAGACAAACAAGAGCAGGTATATATATATGTAACAGTACAAGCAAGGTCAAGAGGTGAGCAAGTGAGGCAAGGTAGACACAAGGCCAAGCTGAGTACAGAAGCGCTGATGGTCACAAGGCGCAAGTGCCTTGGTGAAGATATCAGCAGTGTTGGCCTCAGAGGCCACGTACGCAAGACGCAGCTGACCACGCTGCTGCAGCTCACGAGCAAGAAAGTAGCGGAGAGCAATGTGCTTCGTTCTGTGCTCCAGTCGCTGCTCCCGACACAAGGCCAGCATGGCCTTGTTGTCTACGTACAGCACTGGAGGAGAACGAGGCAACTCTCCGAGGTCAGTCAGCAGGTAGGTGAGCCAGCGAAGCTCCTGTGCAGCCATGGCTCCTGCGTAGATCTCAGCCTCACAACTGGAGCCGAGAACAGAAGACGAGCGAGTAGCCCGCCACGAAACAGAGCCGGAACCAAGGCTGAAGGTGTAACCCTGTGACGACCGCTGCGTAGCCTGGTCGTCAGCCCAAGAAGCGTCTGCGTGCCCAGTGAGGACCACTGGACTCTGCCCTCCAAGCACAAGCCCCATGCCCGACGTACTGCACAAGTAGCGCAACATCCTCTTCGCTGCAGCCATGTGCTCCGGTCTGTGTCTCCCAGGAGCAACATAGCGTGCAAGAATGCTAAGAGGGTATGCAAGGTCAGGTCGTGTGCAGGTCATCAGGTACATGAGGCAGCCAACAAGCTCTGGGTACGGGCCACACGACTCTACGGACTCATCCGAAGGCAGAGCTGAGAGCGAGTGGCGAGTAGGCAGAGGAGTGGCCTGAGGCGAGGAGTACGTGAAGCCGAAGCGCTGAAGGACCTGCTGCACCATGTGTGACTGAGTCAAGGTAATGGTGCGGCGTGCTCTGTCCCGAGTGATCTGCAAGCCAAGGTAGCTGCGCAGTTCACCCAGGTCAGTGCACGTGTGTCTCTTCTGCAGCTCGGACTTCATGTGGGCTAGTCCAGCAGTGTCAGCTGTGGCAAAGACCAAGTCGTCGACGTACACGAGGATGTAGAACGGCGGCAAAGAAGTGTCGGTGCGCAGAAACAGCGACGGGTCGGCAGTAGAGGGAGCAAACCCAAGAGCTGCAAGTGTAGTCCTCAGTGTGTCGTGCCACTCACGCGGTGCCTGGCGGAGACCGTAGACTGGCCGCCGTAGGCTCCACTGGGTGCCAGGAGGAAAAGACCCAGTGAAGCCAGGTGGGCGACGCAGCCAGATCTCCTCGTGCAGGCTGCCCTGCAAGAAAGCAGTGCTGAAGTCAAGAGAGTGTAGCTCGTAGTCACGGTGAGCAGCTACGTGCAGCAGTACCCGAAGAGTGGTCATCTTCGGGGTGGGAGAGAAGGTCTGAAAGTAGTCAACTCCCTGCCGCTGACTGAAGCCACGAGCCACGTAACGCGCCTTGAAGACAGGCGGAGAACCCGACGGTCGCTTCACCCTGAAAATCCACATGCCACTGACGATGTTCGCCCCAGGAGGGGGAACAGCGTCAACGTAGGTGCCTGTGGACTTCCAGGAAGCCATCTCTGCGTCCATAGCTGCCTGCCACTGAGAGGAGTAGGGACCCTCTATCGCCTCCGCGTAAGAGCGCGGAGTCGGGATGTCAAGTGCATCCGGGTCTCCCTCAGGGGTAAGCAGTACGGACACGAGATGAGGTGAAGCAGCGGCCAAGCACTGGAACTCCTCCTGCCTGTCCTCAAGGACGTCCGTGCCAAGGGCACACTCACCCCCGACGGACGGAGGACAGACAGACTCAGACTCAGCAACAAGACTGGCGACGTAGTCTAGGCGACAGCGAGCAGCAAAGTCGACGAGCTCAGCAACTAGAGCAGACGCAGCAGTGGACTCAAAGGAAGGGTCAGTGACAACCGTAGCAAGGAGACGCGTGACAGTAGGACTGGCAGCGCGAAGAGAGTCCGACTCCGGGTCGGCAAGAGTAGGAAGAGAAGACTCAGGAGGAGAAGGCAAAGGGGCACGCAGAGGAGCAGTGGACGGACGCAGAGACATCCGGTGCGTGCCAGGGACAGGAGGAGGACGCTGACGCGAACCGCGACCACTAGTGCGAGCAGCACGGACAGGCGACGCAGGGCGAGACGCAGGCTCACGACGCTCAGCAAGACCTCCAGTAGGACCAGTGTAGGGAGACGGAGCAGGCAGTGGGGAGGCCGGCTGTAACTGTAACTGCGACGGGACAGGCTGTGGACACTCTAAGGGAGGAGGAGGACCAGTAGAAGGCGGGAGACCAAGAACCTGCTGAAGGAGCGGAACGAAGTACGGCCGAGGCCGCGCGGCGACTCCAGACACAGGAGGGACAGCACCAGCACCCGCAGGGGCAGCACCAGCACCAGTAGCAGCTCCAGCTCCAGAACCCCCAGCAGCACCAGTAGTACCCCCAGCAGGACCGCCTCCAGGACCGACAGCAGTAGCCTCCGCGCCAACACCCGCAGCAACTCCAGCTCCAGAAGTACCCGCAGGTCCAGCAGCTCCAGTACTCCCAGTACGAGCACCTCCGGGACCCGTGGCACCAGCTCCCTCAGAAGCAACAGAACCTCCAGTACCCGCAGCACCTCCAGCTCCAGCAGCTCCAGCAGCTCGCCTCCAGCGCCGGGCAAACCACTCACGTAGCTCCTGGGGAGAGAGTGGCTCTCGGCGAGAGGGAGCACCCGGTGAACCGCCAGGCACAGCACCACCAGGCGTAGCACCCCCAGGCTCAGCACCTCCAGGCGTAGTACCCCCAGGCTCAGCACCCCCAGACGCAGCACCCCCAGGCTCAGCACCTCCAGGCGTAGTACCCCCAGGCTCAGCACCCCCAGTCGTAGTACCCCCAGACTCAGCACCCCCAGGCTCAGCACCCCCAGGCTCAGCACCCCCAGGCGTAGCACCCACACGCTCAGCACCCCCAGAGTCAGCACCCCCAGGCTCAGCACCCTCAGCAGCACCAGAGTCACCAGCGACCTCGACAGGCTCAACAGCGTCTACCTGGGACACACCTGAAGGGGCAGGACCCTGAGGGGGGAGGGGGTCTACCGGGGGGGGACCTGGTACAAGGAAGAGCGGTGGCGGGGGGAGGGACGGAGTGCGGTAGGGGAAGAGGCGGTAGTAGGGGACCGACTCGTCGAACGTGACGTCCTGGGAGGACAGAACACGGCGAGAGGTGGGGTGGTAGAACTGCCACCCTGGGGCGTCAGGGGGGAAACCCAGGAAGACGCAAGGAGCAGCACGAGGGGACAGCTTGTCCGCAGACAAGTCGCGGACAAACGCCCGAGATCCCCAGACACGGAACGCAGACGCATCGCCAACCTTCCCCGTCCACAGCAAAGCTGGGGAGGTCTCCGGCATGGAGACCCTGGGCTGAAGGTTGATCTGATGCGCCGCGTACCGAACCGCAAACGGCCACAGAAAATGGGGGGCAGCCGCATGCATCATGGACGTACGGGCGACGTCCATGACCATGCCAATGCGGCGCTCAGCAATCCCATTTTGCTGCGGAGAGTCCGGAAGCGTGAAGGTCTGGCGGATGCCTCGTGCACGACAGTAGGCTCGCAGAAGGCCAGAGGAGAACTCTCCGCCTCTGTCAGAGTGCAGACGCAGAACAGGAAAGTCCGAGCCAAAGCTCCGCCTGAGCTGGAGACGAGCTGCGCGGATCCAGTCGATCAACACCTCAGTGACATCACCCTTGCTGCACAAGGGGAAGACTGTGGTGTAACGCGAGTAGTCGTCAACCACCAGCAGGAAGTAGCGCTCGTGACCCTGTCCACGGACGCGGGCCGGGCCCCACACGTCCATGTGAAGCGTCTGCAGCGGGGCCTCTGTCGGAGGAAACTGGGAGGAGTGAGGGGTAGCCCGCTGCCGTCCCTCGACACAGGGGACGCAGGTAGGGCCTGGCCCCGGAGGAAGGGGAGGGAGGGACCGGGGAAGACCAGAGACAAGGACACGGGAGGCCATGCTCCGGAGACGAAGCAGGGAGGGGTGGCCAAGGCGGTGGTG